AACGATTTGGTTATTCCTTTAGATTCCCTAGTAGGCGATTTAAAACTGGCTGATTCGGTGGGAAGATCAGGAAAGGATTGCTCTCAATCAATTCGCTGGGTTCCTCCCCCGGATGGGTTCTTAAAGCTAAATGTTGATGGAGCGATGGTTTCGGGGTGGGATAAAGGAGGTATTGGTGGTCTGATTCGGGATAGTAGAGGAGTGTTGTTACTGTGGTTCTCTGAATCAGTTGGGGGTGGTCCTCCTATCATGGCAGAATTGTTAGCAATTAAGAGGGGGCTTTGTCTTATGGATGAGTTAGATTTGGCTCCTAATCAGAGAGTTATTCTGGAATCCGACTCAATTAATGCTCTGAAGTGGATCCAGAATCTGGGCTTATGCACTCCTTTGTTTTTATCCTTGGTGAAGGATATAGTTTTGCTTTTGGCAGCAAAGGATGTTATCATTAGGCATATTTTGAGGGCGGAAAACTGGGAAGCTGACAAATTAGCTAAAGATGGGATAGGGTGATTTTTGGTTTATTTGGTTGTGTTGATTAACAGGAAATGTAACTTTCTGTTGTGTTAGGTGTTTTGATTTAAGTCTTATGTTCTTCAGTTTAAGGTTTAGGAGACGGTTCTGCCTATGTAATTTGGTTCTTATGAATAAAGTTTCTAGGCACTCTTTTCCTCCCTCTTTGATCCTTCATGTTACTTTCACAACATGGAGGATTTGAAGGGTTTTTTTAATGAGGCCTACTTTCTATCAAAAACAATCTCTGTTTCTTCCTTGCATAACGAGCATAAGTAATCCGTAACTGCCATTACACCCGCTTCATTAATTATGCTTTAAAAACAACTCTTCCATTTACCACCTGCCATAGAAAAACCTCCACCCTTGGAGGGGTGATTCCTATCCAAATATACCTACTCCATTCAATCTAGTTGATTTTCATTTTGGCGAGGATGGCTCCCACTAACTTCACTGTGAACGAACCGTCCCCATTCTCTGACCAAGATAACCAATCTGTTTCTATGTCGCTTGACCTAAAGCTGCTTAGAAATAAAATCATGTCCTCCCATTGAGAGACTTCCCGATCCTCCTGCGAAGTTGGATATTCCAGTCCCAACCCCACCCTTCTTTTGTTCCAAAATTCGAAATTCTTCCACTCTTATTCCACGACAGCGCGTATATCCTTGGGAACCTCTCCTTCAAGGGTGCATCCGTTAACCAAACATTATCCCAAAACAAAATTGATTCACCATTACCCACTTGTGCTCTGAAATTACTCCTTTGGCAGTTTCCAATCTCGTCATTCTTGTATAAAGAATTGATGATATCCCTTCATAACGAAAAAGCCGGTGGTGACCAAAACTTCTTAGGGAGCATTACCTCACTCCCTAAGTTGTATTTAGAACAGATTAGCCTCTTCCATGTGCTATCCCTTTCGCTCACAAACTTCCACACCCATTTGCCTAATAATGCACGATTTAGAAAATCAAGATTTAGCACCCCTAAAACTCCCTCGTCTTTTGATTCGCACACCTTGGATCAACTTACCCAATGAATGCTTCTTCTCTCATCGAATCCCCCCACATCAAATGAATATTATTTTCTACATTTGACAAGTGGTGACCGATCGATGCCATTTAAACACCAAAGTTTTGAATCATGTAGTCATACATGATTTTCATGCTAATTATCTCTTGAGGTGGTTGTAAAGGAGATTCTTCCATTTCATTTTCTTTTATTTCGTTCAAATGTTATCGTCGATAAGTTCCCCACTTACCGTAATTTTCATTGAAATCTCAATTGGCCTTTTGAGCAGATTTAAGATCAATTACACTATATTAAGTGCAATGGAATGTTAAAAAACGTTGGACACCCTAAGATATCCCTAAAGATAAAATTAAGAATACAACCATATGGTAATGTTTTACTGTAGTTCCACTCTTTTAATGACAACATCAACAAGTTTGAGAAAAATAATCATAATAAAGTTTAGACAAATTTATTATTTGACATGATAAAACCACCAATAATCACATGCATAGCTTTACCTTCGGAAGGACAAAGAAACCAAATGATCATGAGAAGAAAGAAACAATCCGAAAACTTTTGGGATGTGGAACTCAATTGGCCTTTTGAGCTGATTTAAGATCAATGACACTATATTAAGTGCAATGGAATGTTAAAAAATGTTGGACACCCTAAGATATCCCTAAAAATAAAATTAAGAATACAACCATATGGTAATGTTTTACTGTAGTTCCACTCTTTTAATGACAACATCAACAAGTTTGAGAAAAATAATCATAATAAAGTTTAGACAAATTTATTATTTGACATGATAAAACCACCAATAATCACATACATAGCTTTACCTTCAGAAGGACAAAGAAACCAAATGATCATGAGAAGAAAGAAACAATCCGAAAACTTTTGGGATGTGGAACTCAATTGGCCTTTTGAGATGATTTAAGATCAATGACACTATATTAAGTGCAATGGTATGTTAAAAAACGTTAGACACCCTAAGATATCCCTAAAAATAAAATTAAGAATACAACCATATGGTAATGTTTTACTGTAGTTCCACTCTTTTAATGACAACATCAACAAGTTTGAGAAAAATAATCATAATAAAGTTTAGACAAATTTATTATTTGACATGATAAAACCACCAATAATCACATGCATAGCTTTACCTTCGGAAGGACAAAGAAACCAAATGATCATGAGAAGAAAGAAACAATCCGAAAACTTTTGGGATGTGGAACTCAATTGGCCTTTTGAGATGATTTAAGATCAATGACGCTATATTAAGTGCAATGGAATGTTCAAAAACGTTGGACACCCTAAGATATCCCTAAAAATAAAATTAAGAATACAACCATATGGTAATGTTTTACTGTAGTTCCACTCTTTTAGTGACAACATCAATAAGCTTGAGAAAAATAATCATAATAAAGTTTAGACAAATTTATTATTTGGCATGATAAAACCACCAATAATCACATGCATAGCTTTACCTTCAGAAGGACAAAGAAACCAAATGATCATGAGAAAAAAGAGACAATTCGAAAACTTTTGGGACGTGGAACTCTCATTAGGGAATTTATTATATCTACACGTTGGTTGTCTTCAAATGGACCATCATTATTTATGTTTAGATAACTAGATTAGGGACTCAGAGTAAAAATTCTCTCCATAAGGTAAAATTCAATACCATTAACTTTGTTGATATCATCCTCCTTATGAACTAGAATTGTATATTGATGAATGCATGAATAAGATTCGGGTTCACTTTAGGTGGAACGCTGAACAATTCTAATCAACCCATTAAACAAAAGTCTCAAATTATGAATTGATTAATCCAAGACATAAGAAAATCGATATTGAAATTTCTCTCAAATACAAGTTTAGTTTTATAAAAGTCATGGTAGAAATTAAAGACATTAGGGTCTTAAAGCAAAAACTTTCAAACCTTAAGCGTCTTAGAATCAGCACATCCCATTTTGATCAATCCTCCAATGATCAAAGTTATAAAAATTCTTACTTTAGAGATCCTAATACCTTCAACCTCTATAATAATTTTTATAGAAATAAATCCATTCAAATTGAGAGAACCGTTGATCCTGATTTTCTTATGTCTTAGGTTTACAAATTCACAATATTTGAGACTATTGTTTCATAGGGTTGACTACACTTGTTTAACATTCTACCTACCTACAGTGAACCCAAATTTTGTTTGTGCATTCTTTAGTAATACAATTCTAATTCATGAAGAGAATGATATCAACAAATTTAATGGTATTAAATCTTAATTTATGGGAAGAACTTTCACACTTAGTCCCTCATTCATAACTAATTTTCTAAACATAAACAATGATGGTTCCATTAAGGACAATCAACTCGTAGATTGAATAGGTCCCCAATGAGAGTCTCATATCCCTAGAGATTTTGGATCGTCTCCTCCCCATGATCACTTGGTTTTCCCATTTTTCCGATGGTAAAGCTACATACATTTGTGCATGTGATTATTGGTGGTTTTATCATGTCAAACAAAAAATTCATCCAAACTTTGCTATGATTATCTTTCTCGAGCTTATTTATGTCATTGATTGTATTCTTAATTTTATATTTAGAGATAAACTTAGAATGTCAACCTCCTTTAATCCTTTCATTGCACTCACTCATGTCATTGATCTCAAATCTATTTACAAGGTCAATTGAGATTTCAATGAAAACTCTATTAAATTAAGTTCTTATCGACCACAACACTTGGACGATGTAGTGAAAAAAGGCAATGAAATGGAAGAACCTCCTTTACAACTATTTAGGAGGAAATTAGCATAAATATCATGCATGACAAAATAGTTCACAATTTTGCAAAATTTGAGTGCCCAAATGGCTTTGATCAATCACAACTTGACAAATACGAAAAATGACGTTTATTTTGATGCATCGTCATTTTATGTCTCCCTCGCCTTCGACACCTTCTCCGAAAGAATAATCACTTCATGTTATTTTTTGACTTTTGCATTATAACTTGATATATTATGCTTTTATGACATTTTTATTATTTATGCTTCATATTTTTTATTTTTGTATTTTATGTGAAACACTCTTGTTGGTATTATTATTATACTTATGAACTTTTTTTTGCTAAACATAATTTATGATTCATCTCTTTATTGTTAAATATTTCTAATAATTTAGTTTACTATTATACTAACATTATTTTTCAATTTTTAAAGTTTAGTTGATTTTGTTATAACAAAAGGGAGAAATACGTAACTGTAAATTTGAAAAAATGTTTGAATTTCAATACATTTTAGTTAAAAAGAATTTTACTAAAGGAGACATTTATTTTTCACGAAAATATATAACAAATTATTTTTTTAAAAAAAATCATATTTTTTAAAATATAAATTTTAACAATTAAAATACTTAATAATTTATGTTATATTAGAATTAAATAATGGTTCAACATAAAGCTATTAGTTCGCATCACTCACCACAAAATACTTCTGGAAGCTCGTCAATCCGTTGGGGCTCCCATCCCTCCATAATTCTCCGTGGAACAGTCATGGGATCATCCACAATCTCCTCAGTCTTCTGCTCCTCATCATGGTTCATAACTGTAACCATATTTTCTTTAGCCACTATTTCAATGCTTGGCTGAGCTCCAACCACACTATACCTTCCCTAACATGAATTGTCCCAAAATAGGCGTCAACATAAAAATTTAACCGTAGTCTATAAAACATATAACAGGCGCAGGAAGAGGGAACTTACAACACTGGAAGCCTGTAAACCAGGCTCAACAGACTCGAACAGAAAGCTCGGAGCATCCCTATCATCTTCCTTAACTAGACATCTATATGCCAACACTGGCGTCAAGTGATCCGAGAATATACATCGGTAAAGAGGAACTAAATTCCCGTTCTTCGAAGCTTCTCGAAATTTCACTGACTGGTCAACTGGTACACATGCAAATCATATATATATTTATAAAAAGGGTTCATGTATTACATTAACGGAAGAAAATAACAAATTAAAACATTCAAAAATTGAATTCATTAAATCAATGAAGTAAATCAGTAATAAAACAACCGGTAGGCGGATTTAAAATTACTAATTTTAATCAAAATTAAAAGGAATATGACGTCTTTGTCTCCTGCATTTCCCGTGAACTAAATAGAATAACTCAACAATCAATTTTTTTTTTTAATTTTTAGATCGAAGTGAGATTGATAGTACCTAACGAAGGAGATGATGAAAGCGAAGAGCATTTGAGTGTACGGACGCGAGAAGTGGATCCGATAAGAGAAATGGACTTCGAACCGGATCCGGGGAATCTGGCGTAGCGGTTGACAGAAACGGTCGATGAGAAACGGAAGGGGGTAGACGGAAGCTGAAGGGGAGTAAATGTTAGGGTTTCCATGGTGGCGGCCATAGCAGAGAAGAGAGACGGTTCGTTTCGTTGATTTTAAATTTTGATAATCAAGTTCTTTTATATCGAGATTATGTTTTTAACCAAAAATCGAGATGGATTTTATATTTTTCGGTAATTACAAGTTTGGTAACTAAATTTTACACTCTCACCTATTTCATTTATTTATATTTTATTTTTTTTCAATTTAATCACTAGATTTTGTACCTCAGATTATTTTAGTCAATCAACTGTTTTCTTTCTAATTCTGTGATGAGATGATATTTTTTTGTTATTTTTTCTCCCTTAGCCCAAAAACTAAATTTTTGCGCCATCGATCTTTTTGAACTCGTCCATATCCCCTCTTCTTTGAGTTGTAAACCTAGTTGACACCATTATCTTCATGTACTTCTCTTTTTTTTCTTGTCACTGTTGGAATCCCGCGTTTGGGTGAATTCGATGTAGAACTTGTCAAGGTCTTGATCAGTACGAGAATTCGAAAAGCTTTGAGTAGCTTTTGGTAAGGTTCAATTTCACACTCAATGTTGAAGAAAGACTTAAAACTCTGTAAGGCTTTTTGAAATAAGTTTTTGGTGCTGGAAATGACATTTCTAAGCAGCATTGGTAAAGATAGAAAGAAACAACAAAATAGTAGAAGCCAAATTAGATTAAGCGAGTTAATCGTAGACAAAATCCGTGAAGAAACTGTGCAATAAAACTTTCAAAATTTGAATTATAATACTAGAACAAAGTGAAGACAATGAAAGGAACTCAAAGCACCTGTATACTTAATGACACCATTATTCAATGTTAAACCCAATTTAACTTGAGAACTATCGCCACTAATGGTTCGTTTGGAGCCTTCGCTACCATTTATCAATTTAGCATCGGTGTCTATTTTTGGATCTCTTTTGTCTGAAATTTCTACAGAGTATGAGGAGGAGGAAGAAGAATTACGAAGATGCTTCGACGACGGAACCATCCGCTACTCAGGAGAGATACCTCAGTCGAGGGGATGAATGCCCTGTTAATTCTCCATATCTATTCAGCGGTTGAATGTGATGCCAAAAATATTAATTGAAACTGAAACCTAAATTTCAGTGATCAAAAATGTAGTTTACGCTATAATCTTAATAAACTTGAAGGGTCAATTACAAATTAATAACTCAACTTTTTTTCACTCCTATTTTGATCACTATACTTTAAAAAAATTCAATTCAATAACTAAATTTTATACATTAATTTTTTTGTCACCCTTCTGTTAACTTTCTAACCGCGTTATAACCTGATAGTTAGCTACTGCAATATGTGTTCATTCTTCTTTTGGAGCTCCTTTAACTTCAATATTTTTGGGAGCTCCATAACTTTTTCTAACTGTCAGCAATCCAATGTGTGCATCCCTTCTTTTCTTTTTCTATTTTCACTACTGTCATTGCTATTTGGAGACGAGTTGTAGTCATACGTTATAAAAAGTTTCCGATGTTGTAATGTATACAATTGAGCTAACAAGAATCACTAGTATTGCTTTTCATTTAAGAGCCTTGAAAGTCTATCAATTATAAACATATTTTGGTCATCACATGGTAACTGAAGTGGTTTATTGTCACGACTCTTATAATAAGTCGATCATTAAAATTTAGGGTAAAGTACACAAATGGTCCCTTGATTATAGGACGTTATTTTATTGAGTTCTCTGACCATTAAAAGTTATAAAATAGTCCCTCATCTACAGGGTGTTGCTTTGTTGAGTCTCTAAACTATTAAAAGTTACAACATATTCACCCAACTATTTGTATGTTCCAAACTCACCTTTTTTTTAGTTAAAAAATTGATGATTGATTAAGGTGAATGTTAACCTGCTAATTGAGATATGATAAAATTATATTTTAATGATGTCTACTAGCATCGTCGTTCTTTCAAGCATTGATATGACGACATAATGTTTCAAGCACTAATTTGATGGCATAATATAAACAGAGAGTCAATTAACAAAATGTAGCTCAAACAATTTTGAATAAGATTTTATCGTATCTTAATCAACATGTTAGTGTCTAATTTAGACATATGTCAATCTTTTAATGGAAAAGGAAAAGTTTGAAACATATGAATAATTGAGTGATCGTTTTGTAACGTTCAGTAGTTGAAAGACTTAACAAAACAATATCGTATATTCAAGAGACAATTTTCAAAAAACTCAACAAAGCATTGTCCTATAGTTGGAGGACTATTTATGCACTTTATCCTAAAATTTCGATTTAGAAAAATAATAAACTAAAATAAGTTGATCATTAAACAAGGTTGGACCAAGTAAGGATTAAACTCATGAAATAAAGTTTTAATTTGGTTCCATGATGGAAACTACATCCTATTATTGTTCAAAGTAAAAACTACATCCTATTACTCTCATGTTCTTGAATTTAGACTTTAATGCTCATATCAAATTTTCATAAATTAATAAAATTAATTTTTAATATAAATTCATTTGGTTTTTCTATATTATTTATGTAAATGATTATATTTATATAAATCCGTATAATTGAATTAAAATGAAAATTTTATGTGTACAATTGAAACACAATAAAAGATTTATATTTATAATTGTATCAGATAAGAATGTAAGTATCAAAATCACATGATGAATCAAAATTCATTATTAATTTTGATATTTATCCTTAAAAGTCATTAGCATTTTTCGAGGAAAAATGTTACATTAAAAAAACGTTGTCACTTGCAGCGGTTGATTATGCTGTGGTCGCAAGAATAGGGCAGGACAAGGAGACAAAATGGGAGCAAAAAAAGTGCTTATAAGTTGTGCTTTTGGAAGCTGAAAATATCAGTTTTACCCGTCTTCTTTGGGTAGTTTCAGTTTTTCATCACATATTCAAAATTCCTTGCCAGCAATGGTGTTTTCTTTCTTTTACAACTGACTCTGCTTCTGTACAAAATTATAAAAACCCCAACTCCTTCCTTGTTTTTTTTTCTTTCAAATAAATAAATAAACGGAGACGGAGAGATCATAGTGAGATAGATAGGCTATGAGGAAATCAAATGCCAGCGACTATTTCGAGTTCGACATAGAGGCGAGCAGTACAGAGTCGTCGTTCCACAGACCGTCAAATGCGGACGCCGTTCAGCAAGATGAGGACGATCTTATATGGGAATCGATAGCACGTTTGCCGCCGGTGAAACAAACAAGGACGTTTCGCCATTTTAAGGAGGACTCCGTCAGAGATTGAACGAGGAGTAGAAGAGACTGGAGGTACGGAGACGATTGACGTCGATTGACGTGACGAGGCTTGATAGAGCTAGAAAAGAACTCGTTGTCAAGAAAGCGTTGGCTGCCGACGATCAAGGTAACTATAAGCTTCTCTCCGCCGTTAAAGATCGCCTTCATAGGTAATATTTAACAGATTTCCGTTGTGATTTTACTTTCGTCCTTAATTTTCTTCCTTTATAAAGATTTAATCACTTCATTTTCTTCACAAGTTTGATATAATTTGGTGTTGCAGAGTTGGATTGGAGGTGCCGAAGGTTGAAGTAAGGTTCCAGAACTTAAACATTGATGCCAATGCTCAAATTGGGTCAAGAGCATTACCTAGTACTTTACTCAACGTTGCTCGTGGCTTCTGTGAGGTTCAGTATCTTTCTTTTCATTCATATTTTTTTGTTAGTCTAATATGTTTCATTTCTGGTTCATTAATATCCACAATTATGTTTGTTTTACAGAATGTATTAATAGGTTTGAGGATTTTACGTCCGAACAAATTCAGGTTACTTATCTTGAAAGACATCAGTGGTGTTGTTAAACCAGGAAGGTAATATAACTATTACGGTGTAGATAACTTTTTTATGGTTTACTTAGGGGACCAACTTAGACTATCATTAACGGAAAAAACAAGTGAAATCACAGTTTATAGGAGGATTGAAAAAACATGGCCAGGGATAGATCGAAGGCATCCGTGAAAATTTCAAATCCTCTTATAGTTTAGGTATTTTTTTAATATTTTCTATTCATGATTTAATTTTATATTTATTAAATTTTTATAATTTTGCATTCTTAAATTTCTAATATAACTTTTTAAATTCGTATTTTTGACATTAAATTTTGTGTCTATTCTTATCGATAGCGGTGATGAATCACTACTTGTATGTGTTTTAATTTGAATACCATTTAATATCAAAGTTTGGAAGCAGCTGTAACTGTTTATATTACTTCTATTGGCTAAACTCACGATATAATGCCCTCAAAATAAATAATTCACGAAATAACGTTATCCCAACATTATTTGCTGAAATAGGGCGAAATCAACAGTGTGGCCGTAGGTCGCCATGCCTTCCGGGCGACCTACGACGTGGCTTGCTCTGCATGGGACATGCACAACCCAACCATAGGTCGCCATGCACTCCCAGCGACCTCCTAGGTCGCCATGCACGCCCGGCGACCAAGGAGGTCGCCATGCACTCGGGGCGACCAAGGATTCATGCATGGGGAGATCGTGCCATGCACTCGGGGCTCGGTTCATGCATGGGGCACTCGAGGCGACCAAGGAACGGTTCATGCATGGGACACTCGGGGCCATGGAGTCCCGGCAAGGTCGCGAGCAGGCGAGCATGCAGCAGGGCATGGATGGGCGTGCATGGGCGTGCTCCTTTGGCGAGATGGGCGTGCATGGGCATGGAGGTCGTTGGCTGGTAGGTCGCAGGGCATGCATGGCGACCTACCAGGTCGCTGGGCGTGCATGGCGACCTGGTAGGTCGCCGGGCGTGCATGGCGACCTACCCCCGGTACTGTAGAGGACACCACTTGAGCAATTAATCTGACGATCCCACTATTTCGTGAAAAAAAAAAATTCAACGCACTATCAACGAGATTTTGCCTACTTCTATTAGGATGACGCTGCTTTTAGGACCTCCAGGATCAAGCAAATCCACTTTGCTTTTAGCTCTTGCCGGGAAACTCGACCACAAATCTTTGAAGGTAATCCGTTAGATTTTTCAACAGATCATATTTGCAGGAATCATTAACCTTTTATCTTATTCCAGGATTGAATTAGGA